CCTCACGCACCCGCCCAGGCCGCGGGACGCGCTGCCCGGCCCTCGCCCTCGCCCCGAGGGGTTCCAGCCGCCGCAAGTGGGGTGAAACGCTCCTGCACGATGGACGCATCCTCCACGCATCATCTTCCACCACCGAGAAACCAAGACGGGGCTGAAAAACAGCAAAACCGAGGCTTATCGAGGCTTGGACGGCATCCAGCTGCAAACCACAGCGAGATCACGTTAAGCATCAAGGAAGCTCCCATCATTTGCGGCGTAATTTAATATTAACAGTTTGCTAAATTGCCCCGCATTAGACCTAATCTGCGGGATTAAAACCAGCAAACCAGTGTTAAGGCCTCATCCTGCACCCAAACCCTTGGCCCTTTCCGAAAGGCCCAAGGTAGGCCCAAAATGCCTCATTTTATTCAAATTTACTAAATTTTGGTCACATCTGCATGTGGTGGGTGTGTGCTGAGCTGGAAAGGGATTTATCCCAAGGAGGGTTTTGAGTGGAAAGACTTTAGCAGCATGTGGAGCGGGCCGGGGAGAAACATAGCTCCTATGTTTAAAAATAAAAGAGAAATAGGCTTTAAAAAAAAAAATAAAAAATAAAGCAACCAAACTTGGAACAAAGTTTCTTGGTTTTTGGGCAAACCTGCAAGACCAATGGGCTGCGCTACCCTGTGTTTACCAGCCCTAATTTTATCCCTCAGGAGGTTTCCTGTAGGACGTCATTATTTCCACAAGTGTAAAAGGGAAAAAAAAAAAGAAAGAAAATGAAGTCTAGAAAAGTCCTCAGACTATTAAAAATCCCATAATCCAAAGAAAATGCCCCTAAACAAAACAAAAGCAGAGTTGGCTCAGTTGCCGAATTAAATCGCCTGATTTGTGGTGGTCATCAGAAAGCTGAGGACTTGAGGATCATTTTCAGTGCAGAAATGGGATGGCCAAACTTGTTTTTTCAAGGTAAAACCAGTCAAAATCAAGATTATAATGATGGTCCTTCGCGGGGTGGGGATGCTGCCAAATTGCGTTTCCTCCCCATACACTTTTCAAGGCTCTTTTTCCCCTCCAAATCCCCTCCTTGGGCGCCATTTGCATGAGAATACCGTCTTGGGGGGGGGAATTGCTGCTTAATTAGAGAACAGCAATCACTTTAATTAGCATGTCTCCATGCTCCCTGCTATTTTGCATAGATTCAAATGAGATGCTCATTAGGGAGCAGGCGCCCGGACAAGCTACGCCCTTTAGCCGTGCGCTAACCCAATTAACCTCAGCGAAGGAAAACCGCGCCGGGGTTTTGGCCAGCCCCGGGCTCCTCCCGAGGCAGCAGGAGCAGAACCGCTCGCTGCCGCCCGCTCGCCCGGGCACGCTGGGCACGGGCACCCGCAGGCCTGGCCTGGCCAGGCTCGCGCCGAGCCGTCGCTTCTGCCTTCTCCTGGGAAACCGCTTTGTGGTGGCGGGTTTCCTTCCCCGCAAGATTTCCTTCCATACAAGATTTCCTTCCTCACAAGATTTCCTTCTGTACAAGATTTCCTTCTGCAGAAAATTTCATTCCACACAAGATTTCATTCCACACAAGGTTTCCTTCCTCACAAGATTTCCTTCACCACAAGATTTCCCTCCTCACAAGATTTCCTTTCCTGCAAGATTTCCTTCCTCACAAGGTTTTCCCCCTCACCAGTGTTTTCCTCCTCACAAGTTTCCTTCCTCACCAGGTTTTTCCTGCTCGCTAGGTTTTTCCTCCTCGTTAAGCTTTGCTTCCTTGCAAGGTTTTCCTCCTTTTGCTCGCTTGCTCGCTGCTGGGATTTGGGAGCAGAAATGGCAGGGGACACACACACACCCCCCCTGCAAAAAGCCACCCTCCGTCCTTGGGAACCCTCAAACCCTCGCCATGCCCCTTCCCCAAACACCGCGGGGCCGGCACATCCCCGAGGCCGTCGTTCACGGGGCAGGAGCGCAGGGACTCGAGGATCTCCTTTGTTTCTCCATCACAGCAAGGGTGGGTTTTATATATTTTTTTTTATTTCTCCTGCCCCGTAATCCCATCGTCTTGTCACGGTTCCCCAGGAAGCGGGGCTGCTCCAAACAAAGCCCCTGGAGCATCCTGAGCTCCTGGAGGGGGTTTTGCAGCTGCGCCTCGGAGCGTGACCGATCGGGAATGAGCCTTCGCAGCGCGTCGAATGCCGCTTGGACAGGGAGCCTTTCATCCGCTCGTGGGAGCGAGGCCCCGGCATTGAGCCGGCAGCTCCCCGCGCTCCGGCCCTCGCCGCTCCCAACCCCGCAGGAGCCACCGGCCACCGCCGCCGCCACATCTCTGGGGGTGAGCGAGGTGGGGCCATGGTCCTCTCCTCCCCCCTGCTGCGGGTTTGGGGAGGGGGAGGGTTGTGGGCGCAGAGCTCAGAGCTGCTCGGGGGTTGCTGAGGGTGGGAGGTGCTCCCGTCACCATGGATGGTCACTGTCACCCCGTGCTGTGCTCCAGCAGGTTCCTCGTCCAGGTCCCCGTTGCTCTGTCCCCAGCAGGTACCTTGTCCTGGTCCCCATCACCCATCCCCAGAACGTTCTCCATCACCCTCCCCATCATCCCCAGCAGGTACCTCATCCCAGTCCCCATTGCTGTCCCCAGCAGGTACCTCGTCCAGGTCCCGTCACCCCATCTCCATCCCCATCAGGTCCCTCGTCCCAGTCCCCATCACCTTGTTCCGGTCCCCTTCACCCCATCCCAGTAGCCAGCAGGTGCCTCATTCCAGTCCCCACCACCTTGTCTTGGTCCCCATCAGCCCATCCCAGTCCCCATCAGGTGCCTCGTCCGTCCCCACTGGGTACCTCACTCTGGTCCCCATCACCCCGCCCTGTCCCCAGCAGACACCTCATCTCACCATCCCGACCCTGCCATGGGGCCAGGCTGCCCCCATGGCCCATCAATGCCCGAGGATCTCCAGGGAGGGAAAATTGGGGGGGGTCTCTTCTGGGAAGGGGACAGCAGGTGTCAGCTGGCTGCCTGGTGCCCCCCACCCTTGGCCTGGTGCCCCCCTTGGTGCCCACCACCCTTGGTGGTGGGTGGCACCAGGTACTGAATGTGCTCTGCAGCATGGCAGGCGCTTGTGTGAGGGGGGAAACTGAGGCACGGAGCAAGAGCTGGTGGGGAGCTGGTGGCAACACATGTGGGTGCAAAGGCTGGTGGGTACACGCATGGCCTGGGAACAGAAGATGAAGATGAAGACATAAGAAGAGGTAAGATAAGAAGAAGATGATGAGAGGAGAAAAGATGAGGAGAAAAGAGACAAGATGAGACAACACCAGAGGAAAAGAGGAGGAGGAGGACAAGGAGAGGAAGAGGAGAATGAGGAGAACAGGAAGGACAAGGAGAAGGAGAAAGAGAAGGCAAAGAAGAAGGAAGAGAAGAGGGAGGAGAGGAGGAGGAAAAGAGAAGGAGAAGGAAGAGAAGAAGGAGAAGGAGAGGAGAAGTAGAAGGAGGAGAATGAGAGAAGGAGGAGAAGACCTGTTGGCTCCAGAGAAGACTTATCTCCCTGTGAGTTTTGCCAACCCATCACTTCAGGGGTTGGACAGATTTTTTTTGTTGGTTTATTTTTCCCCTGGTGAAAAGTGGCTTTTTGACCCAAACACACATTTTCATAACGAAAGTTTATTTTGGCTGAATGCCTTTTTTTTTTTTTTTTTTTAATTCTTATTAAAAAGAAAAATGGTAAGACTGGTGGGAAGGGTCATTTCTGTAAAACATTTTTTTCTTAAGAAAAAAAAATCTATTTGGGCTTTTTTTCATCAGAAATACCTCTGCAGGAGGCTTTGGGAGTGAATCATTCCCAAAATCCCCTGTCCCATGCCGTGCCTGGTCCTGCCCGCCTTTATCATTTCTCCCTGCAGCAAATGCTTAGAGACAAGAAAAAAAATTAGAATTATTAGAAAATACTCCTTTTTCTTTAACTTTTTTTACAGTAGACTAGAGGACTTTTTTTGCCCCATTTTTCTGTCTTTTGGTCATTTAACCCCCCTGTAGCCGCTCTGGTGCTGAGTCCAACAACTGCCCCAGTCTTTACGAAGGAGCAAACAGCGGCTCCGTGCAGTATTTTTTGGGTTCCTTGGGGCATTGCGGTTACTTCCAAGAGGAGCCCGGAGCTGCTGGGGGTGGGACAGACCTCACTGCACCCCCTTGGCAGGTTCTGGGGGGTGATAAGAGGTCTTCATGATCCCCAGGACCTCCCCAGCATCCTTCTGTCCCAGGCCAGAGCTGGGTTGAGCCTCGCTGCAGGTTGTCTCCAACCCTGTCCCCTGGATGGACCTCAGGATGCCACTGCAGGTAGCTTGCTCCATACCTTGGGCCATGATGTAGGTAGCTTGTCCTCAACTTCTCTCCTGGATGGACCTCAGGCCGATGTTGGAGGTAGCTTGTCCCCAGCCTTGTCTCCTAGATGGACCATGGGCCATGATGTAGGTAGCTTGTCCTCAACCCTCCCTCCTGGATGGACCTTGGACCCGTGGTGCAGGTAGCTTGTCCCCAGCCCTGTCTCCTGGGTGGACCTCAGGCCGATGTTGCAAGTAGCTGCTCCCTGGTCACGTCTCCAGCCCCATGATCTGGATGAACCTCTGACTGGTGTTGCACCGAGCTTATCTCCAGTCCTATTCCAAGCCTTACCTCCTGGGTGGACCTCAGACTGACGTAGGTATCTTCTCTCTGCTGTTTCCAGACCCATCTCCTGGATGGACCTCAGGTCAATGTTACAGGTTGCATCTCCAGCCCTGTCCCTAGCCCCATCTCCTGGATCGACCCTGACCCTACATTGCAGGTAGCTTGTCTCCAGCCCTGCTTCCAGCCTTATCTCCTGGTTGGACCTCAGATCTATGCTGTCTTTCACTTGTCCCCAACACCATCTCCAGCACAGTGTCTTGGCTAGACCTCAGACCAATTTTGTATGTTCCTTGTCTCCATCCCCATCTTCCTGAAGGACCTCAGACCAACATTACGGTTTCCTTGTCTCCATGTCTATTTTCAGGAAGGATCTCAGACCAATGTGGCAGGCTCCTTGTCTCCATCCCTACCTTCTTGAAGGACCATAATCAATGTTGTGGTTTCACTGTCTACATCCCTATCTTCCTGAAGGACTTCAAACCAATGTTGCAGGTTCCTTGTCTCCATCCCTGTCTTCCTGAAAGACCTCAGATCAATACTGTAGGTTCCTTGTCTCCATCTCTATCTTCCTGAAGGACCTTAGACCAATGTTGTAGGTTCCGTGTCTCCATCTCTGAAGAAGCCCTGATCAATGCTGTAGGTATTTTGTCTCCATCCCCACCTCCCTGAAGAACCTCAGACTGATGCTGCAGGTACCTTCTCTCCATCCCTGTCTCCTGAAGAACCTCAGACCGCTGATGCAGCCCATAACCACCTTCTCTGAACTTCCCAAACCCAACCCACCATATCACCCTGCCAACAGCACCCATCCTCGACCCCAGCTGGACCCGTCTCATGGTGGACACCCCCTGAGTGGCCAAGACCATGGTGGAGAAAGAACCAGAGACAGGCGGAGGGGATGGAGCGCCTTCAAAATTGACACCATATGGCTGTTCCTTATCCCTGGGCCCAGTAAATAGGTCTTTCATGCTGGGCCGGTTGCCATAGGAGCAAACACGCAGGAAATATCCCAGATAACTCGAATAGTGGCGAAAACATATGTTTTGGATAAAACCTGGCAGAAAATCGCCCTGTTTAACCCCTCCAAGGCATTTTAACCGCACAGTTTTAACCCCTTAGTGCATGCACAGGGTGGGGAAACTGAGGCACAGTGGCTCCCCGTCCCCGCGTCACCCAGTGCTGGGGAATCTGATAGGTTTTTGCAGTGAAGTTCAATTGCTGGCAGGTCCTGGCTTCGTCTCGTTGCCTTCTCCTCCTCCTCCACAGAGCCCCTTATCAAGACGGATGGCTGGATGCAGGGCCGCGTGCTCACTCCACAAGCATTTTGCTTTGATTCGCCAAGGAATTTGCTTTGCTGTTGCTTTTTTTTTTTTTCCACCTTTTTTTTTTTACACCCCCCTCCTCCTTTTTTTTTTTTTATTTCTTTTTCCAGCCTCAGCCAAACCTTTCCTTATCGCATCTGGTGAGCAGCGGGCCCCAGCGCTCTCCCTGGCCGCCCTCCAAGCACTGAACACGGAGCCGCCAGCCAAGCTGTCGCGGCACAACCAGGTTTCCCAGCGCCACAGCGTCCCGTGAGTGAACCGACGGGCCCTGGCGCTGTGTTCGCTTGCAGAGAACGGGAAACCGAGGAATGGAAAGCCCGAAAAGCTGCTACGGGCATCCCCAGCTCCCTCAAAGCAGTTTCGTGCAACCCCGTGTGCCGCAAAACAACCCCACGTGTTGTCCTGGGTGCTGTGAGCGTTGCTGTGTCCTGCAAACCTCCTCACTCGCTGCAAACCCCCTTGTGTCCTGCTGAGCCCCCGCGACACCGCCTGATGCCTGTGGCTGGGAGATGTCGCTGCTGGGGCTGGGTCTGGAGAGACACAGGCATGGTGCAGAGTCCAGCCCAAACCCTGCACCCCAGAGGGGTAGGTACCACCCACACAGCAGCCCTACCCCTAAAAAAGGCCAAGAAGGCACCTATGGGTGCTGGGCTGGCAAGAATTTTGGAGAATGTTCTGGAGGGTCACAAGCTAGACTTTTACACAGGAAGGATGGCAGCTATAGGGCCGAGATAGGACCAAACTGAAGGGACTGGGGAGAAAAAACTAGAATTAAGCAGCAAGGCGCGGTGGGGCCACGGCACCTGGGCGATAACGGGCGGGAGGTGGCCCAGCCGCCCTGGGATTCCTCCCGGTGCCTTCGTGTAAATACCGCTGACGGGAGGAATGTGCGAGCACGGAGAAATCCCTATCCCCAGCCAGAGCATCGCCTTGCTCCTCCCTCGCAGCAGGCAAGGATCAGAAACCCTCCAGATGTTTTTTTTTCCCCTGTCCAATCCTCCTGGGCAAGTTGTTTTTTGTTTTTTCTTTCCCCACCTTCATTTTGCCGGGGTGCACATCCCCAGCAAGGTGCAGCATCCCCATGAGCCGCCGCAGCCCCGCGAGCTGCCGCAGCTGCTCTGCAGATGCTGAGCCCCTCTCCAATCCCAAACTCATTTTCCCTCTTCAGCTGCTGGGTTGTTTTTTTTTTTTTTCTTCTTTTCCCCCTCCTTTTGTTTTTTTAATAACCTTTCAGTGCATCTCCCCGCCCCCTCCTTTTCCCCCTAAACTCTATTATGGGTTTGTGGGGTTTAGCAAGATAAACACGGCCAAACCATAACCCTCGTAATGTGCTAAATCACTACAAAAGCCAGAACAGCTTCACAGGGCGGCCCAGGGCTCACGGCGAAGCACCAAAAGGCCCCATAGCTTCTCAGCCCTCCAAGCAAAGCATGGCAGATGCAATCAATTTAATTTTTTGCCTTCCTTTTTGATATGTTTTCCAGCAGGGCATGGTCCTTGCACTGCCTTGCACCAAGGAGGGTGTTGGTGGGTGCTGAGCCAGGCAGGATGATGCTAAAGCAAGGAGGGAATGAAGTAGTGAGATAAAACCCTCCAGAATGAGGGGAAAACCTGCATTTTCCCTGCCAGACCACCTCGCTTTCCACCTCTCCACATCCCCAAATTCCTGTCAGGGGCCAAATGATGCTCAAAAGCTGCTTGAAGGTTCATTTCCCTGCTCCCGGGGGGTATTTTTTCCCCTTCATGGGCTGGTTTCACTCTTCTCGCAGAATGCTCAGCTTGCTCCGTGCAAGGGAGTTGCAAGGCAGCAGAGGTTTTTTTTTGGGGGGTGGTGTGGTGTGTTTGGGGTTTTTTTTTAGGGCATTTTAGGTTTTTCGGGGTTCGCTTTCGACGGCAAGAGTGGCGCTTTCTCCCCACCCTGCCCAAGAATGTTTCTGCTGATATTAAACTCGACCCGGAGGCATTTCAAAGGAGCCAACTTCCTCGCCAAAAAAATGACCTCAGCCTCCCTGGTTTGCAGGGTTTTTTTTTTTACCTTTTTAAAGCATTTTTCTCCTTCTCCTGCCTGCCGGGTGAGAGGCACCAATGGGGTCTCTCAACCGTGGCCCCAGCCTCGCCGCTGGGCTGCATCTGTGGTGCCAATCCCTCAATTTTTGGTGGATAGTTCAAGGTTGTAACCTGCAAATTCCAGTTTTAACCTGCAAATTCCAGGTTTTCCCCCTGCAAAACCCCTCCCTGCCGCTGACAGGAGGATCCAGGGGCCAAAACAAGCCACCTTGCACCATTTTCTGGATGCTTGAAAACCTGCAAAATTCATGTCCCCAGTGAAATAAAAGGGAGAAAAAAAACCCAAACAAAAAGCCGACACAGCCCGTGATGTTTTCTGGAAAGAGTTTTTGCAAGAGTTTCCTTAACAGACTCCTCTGCATTTTTGCTTTTATTAATGTGGCGGCCTTCCCAAGGCTGCTGCGATGGTTTTGCAAGAGCAAAAACATCTCCTGAGTTCAAAATCCAGCCCCTCCGGCACCTCCACAGTGGGAAACGCCAAGGAGAAAGGAGGGAGATGCCGATTTAGAAAGGGAAATGCTGGATTTGGGTCTTTTCAGATGAAATTGCTTTCATTATTTTTTCTTAAATTAATATTTGCTGTCCTGGAGACATTGAGCTGATGGGGGCAGTTCAGAAAACAGAAATGCTGCTACAAGAAGTAAACCTGTTGGACTGACAGTCCCAAAAAGGCTGATGTTAGTGGGAAAATTCTAAATACGCCCCTAAAAACAGATTGGGAAATGTTTTACCCTTTTTCTCTGCTCAAAGTGGTGCAGCGCCATCCTGGAGCTGCTTCCTGCACTTGGAGCTGCAACCCTGTGCCCCATAGCTGCAGCCTGAACCCCACTTCTTGCATGCAGGAGTTGCAACCTGCAGCTGCATCTTGGTTCTGCATCACATATCTGCGTCCTGCACCTGTATCCCAGATCTGCACCCCAATTCATCCCGCATCTCGCTTCCTGGAGCCGCACCCTGAAGCCCAATTCTCACATCCCAAATCCTGCACCCGCACCCCAAACTCTGCCTCTGCAACCCACATCTGCACCCCTGTCCCGCTGCTGGGACCCCGAGGGCACTAATAAATCCCAACGGTCCGACCGGTCTCTCCAGGGACCCCCACCCACCCAGGGACCCTATACAAGCTCAGCCCAGTCTCCTTGCTGGGCCATACTGGTCTTGTGAACCCTATAGCTGCGTCCTGGCTGCGCTTCATCCCCACCATCCCCACACCAAGCACAAAAGCTTAATTGTAATCAAAATAATTTGCGAGGCTGGGTTGGCCCCATCCAGTCCTTCCTTCCAGCTCGTTCCCGGTCCCAGCTGGGCCTTGCTCCAGAGCAGGTGGGACACGGAATTCCCAAACTGGCCCATTCAGGGCAGGAGCAGGGAGGCTTCTCCACTCACGGGGGCTCCGTTCCCCTCCCCGAATTGACGTCCCGGCACATCTGGTGGGCAGATGTGGCCACGCGGCCAGGCTCTGCCTCCCAGATGGGGGACGAGCAGTGAAATCCCTCCATGGCATTCGAAAGCTATAATTTTTCCTTGGAAATCTGCATTTCCCGGCTCGTTGCACGCACTCCCCACCCCCGGGCATGCCGCAAGATCCCTGTGCACAGCCGGGCCTGCGCCCTGGCGCTCTGGGTATGAACCATCCCTTCTGTGTCCCTCCATCCCATACCTGCACCCTAAATTCTGCTTCTGCAGCCCATATCCTGCATCCTCCCCACTCCTCATATATCCCATGTATCTGAACTCTAAATCTTTCTTCTGCAGCCTGAATTCTGCTTCTGAATCCCACACCCTGTGTCCTGCACCTGCAGCCTAAATCCTGCATCTGTTCATTTATCTCGTGCCACGTCCTACGCCCCACATCTGCATCTGCACCCAAAATCCTGCTTCTGCAGCCCATGGCCTGTGTCCTGCATCCAGGTCCTGCCCTATATCCAGGACTCTGCATCATAAATCCTCCATCCCTGTCCTAAATCCTCTATCCCACCTGCATCTGGAACCCTCCCTCCCCCATCCTGCATCCTAAATCTTCCACCCCACTTCTGCATCCCCCATCCTGTGTTCTGCATCTGTGTCCTGTATCCTCCATCTGGGAACCCATGTCTGCAGCCTAAATCCTCCCTCCTGCATCCTAAATTCTGCTTATGCATCCTAAATCTTCCATCTTGCATCTTAAATCTCCCTCCTGCATCTTAAATCCTCCTCTTGCATCCTAAATCCTGCTTCTGCAGCCAGCACCCTGCATCTGCACCCTAAATCCTCCATCCTGCAGCTTTATCTTAAATCCTCCATCCCATACCTGCATCCTAAACCCCCCATCCCTCCGGCTCACATCACACACACACACCGCCCCCCCCGCCAGCCCCAATCCCGTGCCCAGGATGCCACAAGGAGGTCGAGGGATGGTGAAACAACCTGCGCCCGCCGGAGCACCATGAATTTGTGATGAGGTGGGGTGAGAAGCTGCCCTGGACTGGCCGCCCGCGCCGGCGATAATGTTGGTTTAAGGCATTTTGCACGCTCTGGTGCCTCTCTGAGAGCGCCTTGTCCCCAGCGGGGCCGCACAATGGGCGCTTTCAGGGACCCGGCTCTGCGCAACCCCCTTTTTACCCGGAGAGATTTTAAAATAAACCTTTCATCCCCCTAGAATTGCCCCCCTCAAACCCCAAAAGTGGAAAATAATCCCCCCTCCGGAGAAAAAAAAAAAAAAATTAAAAAAAATTCCCGTGGGATAACGGCGCCTGGCTAATGTGTGAGACTGAGGCGGAGCGTGAGCGTGGTGCAGCCTCTGCTGAAGCATCCCAGGGGAAACTCATGCCCTGTGACCCCCCCCCCAAATAACCTCCTTACAGCAGGTAACAGGTGGGGAAAAAAAAAAGTGTTGCTAAAGTGGAGGCTTTCCCCTCACAGCCTGCAAAAGTGAGACCCACTCATGCAACGAGTTGTGTCCAGCCTCACAACTCCCTCAGAAAACCTTTATTTCCAAAGCATTCCCAAAGCTTTTATGTTTTTGGTTTTTTTTCCCCTTGCTCCTTAGAAATATAAATTCCTGAAGGGAGTGAACCAGAAAACCCAGTATTCAGCCTAATTATCCCCCCCGGCCGCAATCTGTGATCTCCAGGACAATTAAAAGCGGTTAATCCTGGTTGAAAAGCAAACAAGGTCGGAGGCGGCGTCTTCCTGCTTCCCCCTCGCCCGCTGCCGGGGTCTTGCTCCCCAGCTGCAATATAAATATGCAATTAAAAAATCGCCACTAATTGCTTTGCCGAAGAGGAGTTCCCACAGAAAGGGGAAAAAAAAAAAAAGTAAAAAAAAAAGAGAAAAAAG